GCAAGAATTAAGAGGAGTTTATTTGATGACATATTTTGAAACCTAGAAAGCGGTACCGCACCAAATTTACTTAACATTTAGAATTACGAGTCGGTACTCCACAAAATTTAGGCTCCTAACTGTTACTAAGAGCTTATACTATTGTGGTACTCGGGTTTCATCCCTTTCTATTATCTGAATCAAACCGCCTATTCTTGTTCAGCGAACAAGAAAAGGCGGTTTGATTCGCCAACAACTAAGCTTCCTCCTTTCTTAAAACTGTGAACTACTACTTTTATCTTAATTTTGAAGAAATTTCATTAAAAAAAAATTCAAGAGTAGTATTATGTTCGAAATTCTCGCTTGATCAGTCATAGCTCAGGCTTGTTAGAAATCACAAGTCCTTCAACAGGTAGTGTTGATAAGATTGACTTAGACTATAACTAATTCGTTGCTGGCAATCTAAGCATAACGAGTAGAATCTACAGTTAGAGGCATTCAATTTATGAATCCGATGATGGCTGAACGGTCTGTTTCCCAAAAAGCAGATTCGTTGACAGAAGGAGCATCTGAACTCTTGTTGTCTAGTTTTTCTCGCTGTTTTTTTCTCTTATTGTGTACTTCACTCTGTCAATAATAACCTGTCAAATCGCTCCCCACAACGAGGGAGTTTACATTTCAATGTAGACTATTGAAAAAGAACAGGCATTTTTGAAATTTTTTTCAATATTGGGCTATTTTGAGCTTTTGAGGGTTGTTGCCATAGAGATCATAATCACTGCTGCGTAACCAGCCATGCGTATCACTTCTTTTTAAGTTGTTATTATTTTATGAGGACTAACCATGAAAGAATCCTTCAGTAAAGGAAATTGTCACGCATGATTTATAGTCGTTTATTCGTTAACAAACAGGGAATAATTACCGATAACAAGATTCGGACACCGATATCTGGGTTACGTTGTTGAGGTAATACTTTTGAATCTTTTAAATTACTGAACCACTGAAGCTAGCCGGAGTCCCAGCCGAATTTCCGGTTCTGCCTATCAAAGCTATGCGACTTTCAAAATATATTTATCGACGATACACAGCATTGCATGAATTGAATTTCTTCATAACATACAAAATGAAGAGGAGTATGCAATGATTTGTCATTTTATGGGCTGCTTGAGTGAAACCATCCTCTAAAGCCAGTACATATTTGCTACCTCCTGTTAGTATTATAACTACTGTTGAACTGACTAAGCTTGCGTTCTCACGGGCAAGGTTGACCTGAGAAGAGAAAGAAGAAAAATCCAAACAAAGGACTGAACATTATTCCAGAAAACTGAGTAGAGAGCAAGACATAAACTTCAAAGGCGAAATAGCCTTCTTCCATAAGTGACGAGGCTGACTGTTATTCTTCTACATGTGTGTTACTTAGCTTTTCACTCAAAAGCGAGGCCAACAAAGATTATTCGAAAGCACTCAAAAGAATAATAATCCTGCCAGTTAAATCCAGGATTTCTCACGGAAAATTTTACCCATGCCCTCCAGTCCATGGAGCCCATGAATCATCTTTCTACGTCACTTCTTTTTAATAGATTCCGAACTTTAATAATCCGTCTTCCATCTCCTTCAGGAGGTCTTTGGTCTTTTCAAACGCTCGCTTGTTTGCTTGCGCTTTTTCGTGGATAGCATCTTTCGCCTTTTCTACCTCTTCAACCTCGTGTTTTTGTAAGTCCAGCAGGCTTCTAGCGACGGCAGTTTCATCTGCTTCGAGCGCACTTGGAATGTTGTCCTTCGGTTTCAGTTTTTTGTGTTGTTTGTCACCTTTCGATTGGTCCTTGCTGTCCTCAGTGCCTATACTTTTTTTTGAGTCTTTCTCATCATCGTGTTCCTCCTTTTCCGGTTTCTCGGCGATCATTTCTCTTATTTTGCTGATCATGTCGTGTGATTTCGTCTCTTCGATGTCTTTACTTAGTTGTCCCAAATCATTAGTGGCATCTGTAAAGAATAAATAACAAAATAACAGACAAAACAATTAAGGAGAAAAACAGAGATGTCCAGAGAACTGCCGGGAATTGAGATGATGATGGCTGAGTCCTTTTCAGTGAAAAAACTCGCGAAGAAATTTCTGAAGCCTATTTTCCTACACATGGCGTCCAATCTCAAGTTACCCTTAACCCTTTAACTCCCATGAGTGACCAAGACAGGATTTCTTCTCGTAATATCAACACAATATCAAGCAGACAAGTGATGAGAATGAAGAAAAATATCAGTTAGGGGGTTATAGGTTGATCTAATACCAAATTCTCCAAGCTAACATCTCAAGAACTGTATGGGAGACAGTAAGGAGAATTACTAATGAGATCTTGGGAGTTAAAGGGTTAAACCTTAAACGCGAAAGGGTGCTGTAAAAGGAGAGGTGCCCTGGGTACCTCATGATCATTTGTCAATCAACTGTCAAGGCATACAGACCTCTTTATTCAAAATAGTTTGAGCTGCAGCTTATACAAAGCGAGTGAACAGCAGGCCCCGGTCATTTGAAGGTTGGATAACACTATCCACCGGATAAATGTCTAAATGTCGGGTGGATAGTGCAGTACGTTTTGTTCTCACTTATCCCATGGATAGCGATTTATTCGTTGGATAACATTATCAACCCTTTATTCAACTGGGCCTAGGCGGATTTCTCAAAAGCACTGATAAGTTTCTACGTTTTCATCACAATGGAAGAATTTATTGAGATTTGTATCTTCTTCCTCTAATCCAAACTGTGTGGCGGTAAATTTGAAACTCGAGATGATATTCTTCGCCATCGCGTAATATTAGCACGGCGTAGTTTCATGACTGTCTCTAAATACTGAATGTCAATGAACGTAAAAAAAGGATGAAAGACGTAGAAATGTTGAAGGCCTTTCTTTAACAATGGTCGCCACATGGGATGATTACCGCATTTGAACTTAAACCAAGGGGCGGAGCCAAATTATATATAAAGCGCATTCTTGTCTTATAAAGGATTCCCGATTTCAATATTTTCGAGGAAGAAATGCTTTAAAATGAAATTTAACTACTTCCGCGGGAAGGCATTCCTCATCGCCAATAGGCCGGGTTTTTTTTTCTGACGTGGATAGGGTCAGGTGGTTCGTTCCTTTAGTTTCCTTTTACCGTCAATTTTAATTTACAATTAAA